GGCATCTTGAACTTGGGCATTTTGAACTTGCTGTCTTTCGCAGTCACATCCTTGTCAGCCAGGGACAGTTCCCCCTCCAGCCGTGTGTCGTCCAGTTTGGCTCCTGGGGCCTGGATGTCCTGGATGTCCACCTCCACGCTGGGCAGAGACACATCCACGTCAGGGGTCATCACCTCCGCCTTGGGGCCTTTCAGGTCCAGCTTGGGGCCCTTGACGTCCACTTTGGGCATCTTGAAACTGGGCATCTGCACCTTGGGCAGGTGCCCTTTGAGGCCAGCTCCCTCGGGCACGTGGCCCTCCGGGAGCTTCACGTCCACGTGGACAGCCTGGACCTCCAGCTCAGCGGATGGGGGCTCAATGCTGAGGTCAGTGGTCTTGAGGTCCCCCTGCATGGAGGGGAGGCTCACGTCGGCCTCCATCTTTGGCACAGACACGTCCACCGAGGCCTCAATGGACTTGCCTGGGGCCAACACCCCAAAGGACGGCATCTTGAATTTGGGCATTTTGAACTTGCTGTCTTTGGTGGTCACGCCCTTGTCGGCCAGGGACAGGTCCCCCTCCAGCCGCACACCATCCAGCTTGACTCCTGGGGTCTGGTGGTCCACCTCCATGCTGGGAAGAGACACCTCCACGTCGGGAGCCGTCACCTCCGCCTTGGGGCCTTTCAGGTCCAGCGTAGGGCCCTTGATATCCACCTGGGGGCCTTTGAGGTCTACTTTGGGCATCTTGAAACTGGGCATCTCCACCTTGGGCAGGTGCCCTTTGACGCCGGCTCCTTCGGGCATGTGGCCTTCTGGGAGCATCACGTCCACCTGGACAGCCTGGACCTCCAGTTCAGCGGAAGAGGGCTGAATGCTGAGGTCAGTGGTCTTGAGGTCCCCCTGCATGGAGGGGAGGCTCATGTCGGCCTCCACCTTCGGCACACACACGTCCACCGAGGCCTCGATGGACTTGCCTGGGGCCGACACCCCGAAGGATGGCATCTTGAACTTGGGCATTTTGAACTTGCTGTCTTTCGCGGTCACGTCCTTGTCGGCCAGGGACAGTTCCCCCTCCAGCTGGGCATCATCCAGCTTGGCTCCTGGGGCCTGGACGTCCACCTCCACGCTGGGCAGAGACACCTCCATGTCGGGGGCCGTCACCTCCGCCTTGGGGCCTTTCAGGTCCAGCTTGGGGCCCTTGATATCCACCTGGGGGCCTTTGAGGTCCACTTTGGGCATCTTCAAACTGGGTATCTGCACCTTGGGCAGGTGCCCTTTGAGGCCAGCTTCCTCGGGCA